CTTGAGGGATTCTTCTCATCTTCGAACTCGACCGAGATATTCATGAGATTGAACTGTGTGGAAAATTTCATCACGGTCTGACTCTCCTTTCGCAAGTTATCGTGCCTACGGCCGGACGGACACACTGACCGATTCTAGAGTGTACTCACTTTTTGAGTACACAACAACAGTTCACAAGAAAATTTTCATAGACGTCTAACTGAACATCCAGTGTATTACGTGGTTGATCCTTGGAGTGACTTATTTATTCTAAATTATCCACCTAGTTAGTTTGAGCTGCAACTGTTTCCTTTTTTTATCGATGACTACCATATCATTTAATGCTTCCTCGTGAAATACTTCCAGGTGAAAAAGGCTATTATTTTTCATATACTTACATCCACTTACATGCATTTCGAAGTACTTAGAAATGGGTAAGAAATCAAAGTTTTCAACTTACATTAATTTGTACACGTAGTATATAGATGTTATTGAATGCAACCTGTTGTTTTCTTCATTATCATCGCACATACTTCGCCTTACAACTATTTATATCAGCTTGAGAAAAAGTAATTTCACTTTACCCAATTATTGATCCTAAGTGAAGTATTCGTCTACTTGATTATATTCTATGCCACCCTTTTAGCTAGTCGAGAATGGTTTTTAGCAGTTCAGCAATGCAGCAGTTACAATCCCGATTCTACGTTACAATTCTTTTCTACATGTTGGTTCAACCTATTAAAAAGTTCACTACTCAAGTTCAACTGCTTTTTGTCTCATATGCGTTCGAATTCTGGTTTCCCCTACTCTACTCAATAGTTTACTTTTTAAATCGTCGATGTAGAAAGTTTTCACAATATTGATTTATTGCAAGCAAATAGTAAGTTGCTTTGCTTTTTTCACTTATTTTTGTGAAGCTAATTATACCTCTAGTTTGCTATGTTCTGCATCATTCGTTGAATTAATAGATTTTTTTCACTCTGAGCATGCACTAGTTGAAATCCCTACCGTATATTGAAATAGTCTCATTCAAGTGACCTCCTTATTCAAAAAGATTTCGTTACCTAGTTTTAGCAGTTTTTTTTTATTTCCTCTCTATTCAATTTTTCTCTGCCTCTCTAACTTGAGATTAGTTAAGATACTCAACTAATTATCGTTCTACTTTCATCTCGTTTCTTGCATGAAGTTGTTTTGTTTAGCGTTTGCTTATTAGATTAATTTAATTTCATCGAATGTTTAGCATCTTTAGTGAAACCTCTGCTTTTGTTATAACAATTGTATATCATTTTCCCCATTGTTCAATATCACAGGTAAGTAATAGTTTTCGTTTTTTAATTAATTTTTTTCCGTTGTCTCAGCCTATTACCCCATTTGTTCATTATTATTTTAATTTTTTTACATGATAATAATTATTTTTTATTTTTATTTTAGTTTAAATTTTATTTTTCTATTTTCTATTTTAGTCATCCAAAAAAGTAAGTATTCTTGTGTATATTTATTACGTCCTACGGAGAGGTAGAGCCGTCGGGCCCGGGTATGAAAAATAATTTCAATGTTTGATCTTTTTATTAAAAAGCATCGAATTTACTTATGAAAATAATACGAAAAAATAAAAAACATTTCTCGACTAGAATATTTAAACCTAATTTACATCAAAACTATAAATTCAAAAATATATTATCTTGTTCTTTGCTGTCATGCATATGTTCAATATCATATAAAACATCATCATCGCCATCATTTGGTTTCATTCTTTTTGATGTTGGTGATGAAGTAGCACTGCCTACATCTTCACTGATTACAACTGATTCACCATCAGGTATAGACAATCCTTGCTTTGGCTGTTCTTCATTCTTTTTTTATTTCTTTAAAAGTAAATAATTTTTTTAAGAAACAATAACTTGTTGAGCGTTTCTTCGCCTAAACTAGTTCTTCGATCAGTTACAATGTTTTTTTATGCTGAGAATAACCGCTCTACGACGGTATTCGAAGCAGGTATTGCATATAGATCACGTACAATTTCAGATAAGGTTGGAAATGATTTTTCATGATTCTTTCAAAATAAAAGGATATCGTCACTTTCTTCATCCGGTACAATCAATTCCATGTAGCCATTTAATTCCTTCACTGGTGTCGTAACTGAACTGACTATTGCTCGTGGTTTATCAAAACAACAAGTTAATAGGTTGTTCGGATTAACTGGTGCTGTTGAATTATTTATAATTGATACATTCATAGTCATCGCTTTTGAAGCAGTATCCGTTGTAATACGTGATATTGATGTACGTGCTAATAATTCTCGTTTAACTAAATCAAACGCAAAATCTTTCTCGTGTGGTTCTGTATCAAAGCGTTTAAGACGAGGATGAAGAAAAGTACAAATGTAATGCTCATCGAGTAGAATCCAAACAGACCTTCTACACTGAAAAAAAAAGTTCCATACGGAACTTAAAAAAGGTTCCGAGATTTGCAACGAAATCTAAACCTTTTTTCGGTTTCGTATAAATATGGTTTCGTATGGAACCGTTCCCAGTTAGTATTCAAAATGGTTGTGTACCTCAAATAACCTCTCTATTCGACTGCAATGCCTCTGCGTTTGCACTAATACTACCATTCACGCTTCCATTACAATTCAGGCAATTATCCCGTTGTTAACAGGTTCATTCCTTAATTTATATCTTAACTTTTAAATGTGTACCCTATGTTAACCTCTTACTCTACATCTAGCCCTTAATCTATATCCTTATTCTACATCTAACCCTTAATCTATATCCTTATTCTATATCCTTATTCTATATCCTTATTCTACATCTAACCCTTATTCTATATCTAATTCTTAATCTATATTCTTATTCTATACCTGATCCTTATTCTATACCTAACCCTTATTTTATACCTGACCATTATTCTATACATAACCCTTATTTTAAACCTGACCCTTATTCTATATCGGCTTGTCCGCATAACGTGTACTTCTGGGGTGGGTGTCTCGAACTCTTTATTTGAAAAATCTAATATTACCATATTGTAGAGCATAGTCGAAAGTACACAGAAACATGTTTTGTTTCTCTTTTATACATTTAAAAAACATGTGGCAGTTATTGAAAGAGAAGCTACTGTGCATGCAAAACAATTGGTGAATTTATGCTACTGATTCATCAAACTTTTATCTTGGCAGAAATAAATAGATATTTAGTGGATCAATATGAATAGAGAATATATCGAAACGTGCATCATTTGGCACCACAGATAATGTTCTATGTATTATAGATTTTCATAGAGAGCCTATGTAAGTTTACTTTATTTATAACATCATCGCGTAACAAAAAATGTCTATTGTTTCTTTTTCACTACTGAATCGCAGCTAATTTTATACTAAAAGCAAATAAGTAAAGTTAATTTTTTTGCGGCTACCTAAGGCATAGGATTTTATTCTAAAAAAATAGCGCGTTATAAAAATTTTATGTAACGCGATGACGAATTTTACTTTTTTCTGAGTTTTCCGTTTTCATAAAAGAGCATCTTGAGGGAAAGAATTTTTATTCTAAAATCAGTATAAGTTGTAAGCAATCGATTTCTAATGAAAGAATATTAAGTTATGCACACAACATTGTCCAATGGTCTAAGTGGATATTGTTCATTTCAAATAGAATTACCAATCAAA